GACCCCTAAATGTGTATTGTGTTATTCCTTTGTCCATATATATCTGTGACTAGCATCCTAGAACTTTAGAAAGTCTATGGAGCATGTTTAAGAGATGGAGAGAGGTATTCAGGAATATCAGAAGAGGTTGCAAAATTTGTATCTTTTAGGTTTTTTTGGTGTGTGCATTGCATGTATGTACATGTGTGTTCATATGTGTGCATGTGTTTTAATACACATTTTCTCCCTTTATTTGATATATATTACTGTGTTTCCTGGGTGACTGAATCAAGGACAAATATACCAAGTGCTTCATTTAAAACTCGATCTGTTGCTGTTGAACATACTAAATATAGTTAGAGCCTGCTTATTTTCCATGACATGGAAGAAGTTCTCCTCCCATGGACCCTAAAATCCCATCTGCACTTTAACTCCAGCTCTGTCCTTTGTCAGAGAATAGATAAATCAAAATAAAACATCAACAGAAGTGGGAACACAAGTAGGGAAAATGACTAGTGTCATGAAACTGGACGCACAGTAGCAGGGCTCTGTGCATGGCAGGGCTTCCACAGCCATGGCTTGCATTTGCTCCCCACTCATGCTTCATGAAGTCTCAAGAGTTTCCATTTTATAGAAAAGGAAACTGAAACAACACTTTGGATATGCACTTGAATTCATGCTTCTAGGAAGTGGAGGAGGAGGGACTTGAACCTCTTATGACCCTGGATTTGTGTGTATTAAAAAGGGTTTCTATTTAAGGGAAAGGAGTACAGTGATCCTCAGGTGGGAGGATCTGCTGCAGAGCATATCTGGGGAGTAAAAAGGATTTGGAGCCATAATCAGGTTTTATTGTACAACCCAGTCATCCATGGAAGATGCTGAGAGACATGGCTACTCCTGCTAGCCACAGTTGTTGCTGTCCAGCAGATTCAAAGACCAGAACCTGGAGAGCCACTGAGTCAGAGCGTGGATTCCAGTAAGCCTAGGAGAAGTCAAAGTATGGAGGACTGCCATCTCATATTTAGGAGTGTGTCCAACTGAATCAGATGACTTTCTTGGATGCTAGAGTCTCTAGGGACTGAAGTGAACCCATGAGCACCTTTGTGTGCTCAGCCCTTGAAGGTCAGATTGTTAAGACAACAGGTGATTGGAAGACAGAAATGGTATTAAAGTGCAGAGGATTGCAGAGTTCGTGGGAGGAGAGCCTGTCCGCAAAAGAATCTTTAGCCATGTTCAGCATGTTGAACTGCAGCAGAGATGGTTTGGTCAGAATGCTTGTCACCCAGGAAACAGATAAATACTATGAAAGGAAAAGGTACCTAGATGCACACATCCAAACAAACTAATCTAATAATGTAGGCTAATTCTGTCCCTAGTGATCTCTCTATAACTTGTATTCCGAGCACTTTGTAAAGTTGTGGGTAACTAGTTTCAGATCATTTCATTCTGCTTTAGGGGCTAAATTTTTGCCTACATAGAGGAGATAATACCTCCCTCCTTCAAATTGCACACAGTGCATAGGAAAGCAGATACAGCACACGAATAAAAGGTGTGGGACCATTACACAGCTTGCTGCCCTCGGGGAATGATAAATAACAGTGAACTGAAGTGCGTGAAGCATGCTGGTGGAATGTTTGACATCCTTTGGAGGCAAGAGTAGAGTTACTATTAGGAACTCCACCTTAGGGAACTATTCATGAGGTATGATGTCTGGTGTATGCTTGCTGTTTACAACAGTAAAATCTACTGCTGCTGTTGTTATAGAGGCCAGCGTATGGTGTGACACTATAAGGAATTTCAGCTTGACTATTTTGAGAATGTGGGATGACACGGTGACTTTTGACTTATTTTTTATTCTTATTTTATGTGTGTGAGTCTTTTGCATATATATATATATACCACATGCATGCAGTGCCTGCAGAAGCCAGAAGAAAGTGTCAGATCCCCTAACACTGGAATTATGCATGGTTTTTAGTTGCTAAGTGAGTGCTAGGAACTGAATCTGGGTCCTCTACAAGAGCATCCAACTGCTGAGCCATCTCTCCAGCCCCTGACTTTGGATTTCTGATAATCCACTGATACATGCAACGAGGGCCAAGAGATCTATTCACAAATTGTTGCAGTATTTCAGGCAAGAGGTGTTGTGGCCTGAGTCATGGCTCAGACAGTGAGAATGGAGGAGCTAGTGAGTCAGACCAGCTGCTATAACAAAATGTCACAGGCTCTATGGCATAAACAACAGAAAATATATTTCTCCTAGTTCTGGAGGTTGGGTAGTTTTTGATCAAGTTGCTGCCTGGCCAGTTCTGATTTCATTTGGGTAAGGGCCATCTTTCTGCTTTGTCCACACAGGGGTGGGGCTAGATATGAGCTGGGGAGGGAAAGAGCAAGCTCTGTGCTATCTCTTCTAGGGAGCTAATCCTATTGTATCAGGACATCATTTAATTACTTCTTTAAAAGCCCCCTCTCCAAATATACTCCCATGAAGGTTTGAGCTTTACCATGAATGTTGGATGGGGTTCACAGCTCAATCTAGAACAAAGAGTAAGATCAACAATTTGCCTTTGTCTTTGAACATGGTGGGTGAGACCAGGGTAAAGTTAGGAATCTCAATGGATATCAAATTTGGGTAACTGAGAGGTTAATAACACTTAGGGAAAAGTCTGGAATTTTCTTGGAGTGTATGTTTTGTTAAAATTGTTTTCATCCTCATAAAGTTTTTGTGTTGGCTTATAAGCATAACATTTGAGTTTTATGTTAAACCTCAAAGGACAGTGCTACTAATCATCTTAAATTATTTACCAGTTCACTGTGTTTGTAATTTATAAATGGGATGAATTATATACTGACTTATTTTACACATTGCAATGATTATTTCCAATTAGTGTCCTGCAAACAAAGAAAAATAATACATGTTCAACTACAAAGTAAAATGCTTTGTATTTGGTGTTGAGGTTTAGCCCCCTCCCCTCTCCTCCTCCCCTCCCCCTTCCCATTCTCTCTTCTCCCCCCCTTCTCCCTCCCTTCCCTTCCCCTCTTCTCCTCTTCCCCTCCTCTCCCCTTCCCTCCTGTCATGTTATACAATAGTTCCTTATTAGCAGATAGAGGCATTTCTTGCTTTTATAGTCTGGATTTTTCTCCTTTCCTCCTACATTAAGGCCTGAAGAAGGCAGGTGCTTCCCCTCTGAAGCCCTGCAAGTTTAACAGTGTTTGCTGATATTTTAAAATATTCAAGGCTTATGAGAACGTGGTCCAGCAGATTCACAGTATATACGGTATATGCTGAATCTGCCACGTGCCTTTTGGAGAGGTCTCTCAAGCAAATGTGATTTATAGAACTTTACCTTTTTGTTGTATATTGTAAGTTGCACATATATTTTATACATATTCTGTGTTTTTTTCTCTTCATTGAAGCATAATGTATAGAAATTTGCACATGCTTGTTCTCATAAACTCAAGATGCCCATATATCCAACACTGAGTAGGTAAACTTTTTAAAAAGTTTATGATGCTGGGCCTGGTGACACACACCTATAATCTTAGCTGCTCTGGAGGCCCAGTCTGGAGGATCAAAGTTCATATCCTGCTTGGGCTATAGAATTATTTCAAGATCAGCCTGGGCACCATAGTGAGACCATTTCAAAATTTTACAAAAGTAAAAATGATTGGGAATATAGCGCATGGGAGAGAGAGTTCTTGTGTAGTATGAGTAAGGCCCTGGGTTTTATCCCCACTACTGAAAATAGAAAAAACAAAAACCCGAAAACTCCAAGTGAGGCCAAAAAAATATATGTTTAGGAGAAAAATGAACTTATCAATCTGCTGGGTATTCACTGGGGGAAAACGTGACCTTTACACTTTTATGTCTCACTTGCAGATTAGCATATTTCTTGCTATCTAATGTAGTTAGGAATTACCTAATTGTTTAACCAATATGATCATTCTTCATGTTAATGTTGATAGTTTTGAAATGGAATGAGAAACATAGTCTCATTGCTTTTCAAGGATCTGAAATAAAGTGTGGTGAAAGTTGTTTACATTTAGTCACTATTATGAAAAAATTCCCTGAAATGTAGAAATCAAAGGGATAGTCTGTCAGTAGCTTTGAGGGCTCTTGTTTAATATACTCACCCTGTGAATATTTAATTTTAATTATAAGTCTTGTGTTTGACTGTTTACTATACTAGAGTCCAGACCTTGGAAAGTTACATGTTAGAGCCTAGATTTTTGTTCAGAAGAAATGATAACTTCAGATGTTATTTTATTGCCCCATAGAACCAGGTTTTTTTCTACCCAGCTGTGTTATTTTGCTACCTTTTTAGTGCAGAGTATAAACCTATTCCACAAGTACTCTGAGAACTCGTTCAATGATTTTGCTAGTTCTTTCACCAGTTAACAATATGAATAAACATGTCGTCACGTGTTAATACTGCAGTTGTACAGCTCATGGTGCCCATTTTGGAGAATCATAATACCACTGCATTTCTGTTTGTAACTTTGTGTTATGCCTAAGAATTGGCTTTCTTTGGCTTTCCAGGCAACATGCGGAGACTTCAATCTCAGCAGCTGGATATTAGTGCCGCAGTTTCTTCTGTTTTCATAGTGTGAGTGTAATATAAAACTAGCTTTTACTAATTAAAATATCCTGGGCTGGGGATGTAACTCGGTGGTTATGCTTAGCATGTGTGAAACTTTTGGTTTGATTCCTAGCACCACTAAACACACACACACACACACACACACACACACACACACACAGAGAGAGAGAGAGAGAGAGAGAATATGACAATATCTTATTTTTCATTTTTTAGGCTTAATCACATGAAGCCATCAATGTGAAGAAGATACCATTTTGAAAACCATTTTTGTTACAGGTGGTAGAGGAAAAGTCCATAAGAGCTGTGTCCTCCGTGTGTATCTCACCGTGCTGCTTTTCACTCCTCAATTTAGGAATGAAGCCACCATTATGTCCTCAGTCAGTGAAGTAAATGTGGATATCAAAGATTTCCTAATGAGCATCAATTTGGAGCAGTATCTCTTACATTTCCGAGAGTTTGGTTTTTATACTGTGAAGGACTGTACAGCTGTAAATGATAGCGTGCTACACCAAATTGGAATATCACCTACAGGACACCGTAGGAGGATACTTAAGCAGTTACAAATAATCTTTTCAAAGATGCAAGAAATTCCAGTATATGCAAATGTTCATAAAACGAAGAATGGCAACATCTCAAAAGAGCAAGATAGTCCTCCATCCACCAGTCAGAACACCTGCATAGAGCTTTCTGATTCTGTCAGTGTTCAAGCCAGCTTGACACAGGTGGAGACTGTTACAAACATCAATCTAAATGACCTTAGTGTGGGAAATAGCCAGTGTCTTAAATCAGATGATAAGTTAAGTCTTTCTCCTCATGACCTCCCCATTCCAGTAGAAGAGGCACACCAGAATAAAGATTCTTCTCAGGATTCTTTACGTAGTGGTGAAAACATTAAAATAAATTCTTTGGTTACCAAGAAGGCTGTGGATTGTACAACTGGAGAACAACAAACGGAGAAAATCAAATTGATACCTGAAAGTTTCAGGAAGGCAAACCCTGAGTGTCTCCCCTCTGTGGACTGTCCAGCACCAGCAGCAAACTCTGGAAATGGAACTAACGGCTTCGAAAGCCCCCCGCCAGCCCCGTTCTTTCAGTTTAAAGGAGAAATGATTGTGAACGATTTGTACATGCCATCATCCCCAGTCCTGGCGCCCATGAGAAGTCGGAGCAAGTTGATTTCGAGACCTTCTCGGTCTTTTCTGTTAAGACATCGGCCTGTACCAGAGATTCCAGGGTCAACAAAAGGAATTTCTGGGAGGTAAAAATTTTTACAGCAAGCTTTAAATATTCAATTTGAGAGAATTTAGTTACTTTTTAGCAATCATATTTTCAGTGTTCCTATTTGCCTAGCCAACCTTTTCTTTATTCCCCTTTTGTCCTTCTCCCCCATGTTGTTTGTACTGTATGTGATTTCCCAGAGTCCATTTCCAGTTCCCACACAGTGACTGGGAACTCTTTAGCTTTCTCCCAATAAATGGAGGGAGGGCATACCTTCCCCTCCCTCTCCCTGCCTACTCCCTTCCCTGCCATTGCTTCCTATCTGGTCTTGGGCTCAGTTAAGCGCAGTTCTCATGATTGAGTTGCTGACCCTGTCTCTCCAGTCAATATTGGTTCTTTGGCAAGGTATATACTTTTAAAATCAGTTTCTCTATTGCCTGGCACAATGCTTGGCACCAATTAATAATTCAATACAAGCCTATTGAACTTCGTGTACTTGTAGGTAGGAGGATGTCAAGAGCTAAAACGTTTGCTGTCTAGTGCAGAAGATAGCAAAAAAAGTGTGGCAGCACAGTATGAAACCAAGTCTCTGGAGGACAGAACTCTGGAACCCCAGTGAGGGACCCTACGGAGTTCAGGCAGGTCACTAGTGTTCTCAGATAGCTGGACAGTTCCAGAAAAACTGAGTTTCAGCAGGGAGAGCCCTCAACCATTTCTCAGTTACCTAAAATGGTTGTAATTTTTCTCCGGGATTAGGGTTGGGGATCTTCCCTCTAATAGCTACCACTCCGCTGGGAGGTCTGAGGTGACTCAGGCTTCATGGCTATTGTAGAGCTCTTCACTCTTCCAGCATGGCCTCCAGGCTGGCGCAGCTTGCGGGAGTCTCCTTCGCACGGTGAATCTGTGGCTGCTGCTACAGATTTTCTTGTCCTGTGGCACCCTTGGTAACAGATCGTATTTGTAAGAAAAGGTAACATATTGTAAAACAGCAATTTATGACAGTTGAATTGCAGAGACCCTAATTAATTTCTCTTTGTCTTACCAGTTCCTAATGCTAATAGCAAAATCTGGTGTTCGCTGGGAATCAGTAGTAAAAATGCCATTCATGAAACATGTGGGTAGTAGCTTGACTCATAATTTTCAATAGGTTGTCTAGTCTTCATTGTGACCCTGAACGTGGGCAATGTTCTGCGTTACTCATAAGGTTGCAGTCCTAGGTTAATTTTCTCAGAATCTCATGGTCAGTGAACTGGGGTTTCATTCTAGAGAAGTGACGATGCTACCAGACTTAAGGAGATGTGCTGTTTACCAGCAATCTTAATAATGTCTTTTAGGAAACGCCTAACTTGAGTTTGTTCTATAATGTATATAACCCAGTTTCTTAACGATTCATTTAATAAGTGTCTTTTAAAAAGTTTGCTACATATGTAAGAATTGTATCACTCATTTTATAACCTGTTAACTTTTAACTTTAAAATACTTTGCATTTTTTGGTTTTTTTTTTTTTTTGAGACAGGATCATCCTGTTAGCCCCGGTTCTCACTATGTAGACCAGCTGACCTCAGTCTCACAGAGATCTTCCTGCCTCTGCCTCCCCAGTGGTGGGATTAAAGGCTTGAGCTACCACGCCTGGTACTTATTTCTGAACAATTAAACTAAATGAAAAAATCTTAAGTTTTCCTATGTCATCAGAAGCTTTCCTCATGTTAGAAGGGCCTGCTGTGAAACTGAGTTGCACATAGTGAAACTCAGTCCCTTTGTGAACCTGCTGGGGACTGTGAGATAAGAAACCCGGGGTTTAAGTCAGACAGCATGTGTCATTTTCATGAGTTTAGAGAAGGTTTTGATGCTCATATATAGGTGCACAGAGCCGGGGAAGCTCCACCATCATCCTCCAAGGATCCTGGCGGGGTCTAAGAATTAGATCGATGTTAGAGTAAGGCGAAAGCACACAAAGTTACTGTCAAGTAAGTACAGTAATTGCTGGCATGGAACACTCATAAAGAAGACCCTAAGAAGGAAGCCTAGCATATCGAATTGGACAAAGGCTAGCAAGTTGTAAACAACACATAGTCTGTGGAAACTTTAAAAGGCAAAGGTTCTTTTAATATCTGTGAAGATTAGTCTAGGTCTGGTGGCATTTGCATTTCTTTCCTTGAGAATAAGGATGCTATTCTTTCACATGGGAATTTCATTCCAGGCCTATAACAGGAGCGTGATCCTCTCTCACCTACTGTTTTTAAACACTTGTATGAAGTGCCTTTAGTTTGAAATGCTCAAAATGCCAGAGTAGTATAATTTTAACTCCTTTGGATGGAGGCATGAGCTCTGTGTCACATGAAATGTTGTTCATATTATGACTATGAATCTTTGAAATTTAGAATTGAAATAACTTTGGGATGAGCCATAAATACCTAGTACTGGTGGTAGCGTTGCAAGCTTGTCAGTGTGATTTTTAGGCCAGATCACTGAAACCTGTTTTGGTGGTTAAGAGAAATATACACATACATTAGAAATGGGGGGAGCTGGGGGTATAGCTCAGTTTGTAGAGTGCTTGCCTAGCATGCAGGACGCTCTGGATTAAATGACCCTCAGCACTGAGTAAACTGGGTGTGGTGGTAGATGCCTGTTATCTGAGTACTTGGGAGGTACTCAGATCATAAAAGGAGCAAGTGAAAAATGAACCCAGAAGTCCACTCTCTGTTTTCCCTTGTCCTCTGTATTGCATATAACACTTGTACAATTTTATTGTGCTGTAATGTGACCTTTTGAGTACAGCTGTGGATCATAGCGCTCTTTGGTCAAATAATAACGTCTACAAATGATGTTGCATGCAATTGTTGTGCCAAACAAAAATATTTCTTTGTCTTCTCTCTCCTTCCTTCCTTCTGACTTATCTGACACAATTTTACATTCTAGTTAGGTGGATTGTTTCTGCTCTTGCCTAGGCTTGCTTCTGAATTCCTGCTTCTGAATTCCTGTCTGTTCCTATTCTCTGGAGGGCCAGGCCAGGTAGGGGTGTGGGGACAGTGAATCTCGGGAGATCTTTTTAACTCCTGTCGGTTGAGAACAGATGGGAGCCAAGCTTGAGGTGTCAGCTCCTCATTTATCATCATTGCTTGGAGCTGTTGCTATTTTCTTCAAGCCTAGAGCATAAAATCTAACTAGCCTCTTGCTGTTTCCTTAGGAATTAGGAGTGTCCTGTGACTCTTCAGGACAGTCCTGCGGCAGGAAGGAACAACTGTCATAAAGTCACAAGGACCAAGTGCCTTCCCTTTCCTTTTGCCCCATTTAAAGATTTGTGTACATCTTTCATGCAAGTGCTTTGTACTTGGGACTGATTGCAAAGCCTTCTCTTTTAGATGAAGTTCCTTTTGAGTGTTTAGAGAAGGGGTGGTATGCAGAGCTATGCTACCCTGGAGATAATACCTGTTACAGAACAGATGAAATCTAAACCTGCAATCTCCAGCCCTCTTTGAACTTCTTATCAAAGGCAAAAATCTGAGGTCAGGCATGTTGGTGCGTCCCTGTAATCCTAGCACTCTGGGGGAAAACTTGGGAGGACTGTAGGTTCTAGATCAGCCTGGGCTAAATAGTGAGACTCAGTCTTCCATAATAATAATAAAAAAATCTTGGACTTTTCCCTTCTAGATATACAGAGAAATTAGAAGTTGAGAACATTATTTTATTTACTTTAGTATAAAAATACATGAACAAACGTATCTGTGGCAGCGGTGGCGTCGAACGTGGGACCCATGTCAGCGCAATTAAACAAGGGTCCAAAGGGGAGGTGAGAAATAGGTTGTCGGTCAGCACTAGATTGAGAACTATTTGAGACTGATTGCTGCTGGCTGAGGGAGAGTATGACTTACATACGACCACTGGATGGACTGACTAGACTCCAGTGGATGCATTTACACTGAAGGACAATTGGGTATAAACATCTGAATGAATAGGACTCAGCATGTATGGCAGAGTGCATAGGGTTTTGTGGGGAGATAGGGGGAGGCATTTACAAAGTCTAAAAAAATTTGAAAAAAGAGAGCAATAAGAAATTCTGCACTGAATAGAAACGTACAGAAACTCATCACTTTTTTTGAAGCAAATTTGGAGTTTTCTGAGAAAAGTTTTAATATAGACAAGAATGGAGAGAAGAGATAGTGAGAGAGGGAAGATGGATGGAGTTAGAAGACACAGAGAGGAGATCATACCTAAGGCAAAGGGTAGGTATACAGGTTTTTCAAGAGAAAGAGTTCTGCCAGTGGAGTCATGGGTAACTTTCTCTGTGGCCAAACTTCTTTAGTTTTGGCTCTGGGAATTGAGTCTAGGACCTACTGCATGCTAAGCAAGTGCTCTATCGTAGAACTATGTCTCCAGGAGTTTTCAAAAAATATATATTTTTTAATTTTGAGACAGGGTCTTTCTTACTAAGTTGTACAGCCTGACTTGAGTTCACTCTGTAGCCCAGACAGCCCTTGAATTTAGGATCCTTCTGCCTCAGCCTCCTGAGCAGCTGGGATGACATGCCTGTGCTGCATGGTCAGCTGTGGAAAAATCTTAATGGTGGGGAAGATTATTGGTAAGGTAGGGAATTGGGAAGCCCCAGGAATGGGTCCAGTCTTGCCCAGAATAGGGTTTAACACCATTTTCTGTCTTACATGGAGTTTTCTAGATGTGCCTTGGCTTCATATACATGGTGGGAGCAGGCCATTTTACAAAGGTAATGATACAGAGATGTTACCATAATAGACACCTAGCAGTCATCTTGGTAGGAGATGGTCCCAGACTATTTGAGGTAGCCTTGCTATTGGCAGAGCTCTGTGATAGCCTCAGTCTTTAGTCCCATGCAGGTCATGTGATGACAACTCCCTTCCCTCTCATCAGGCTACTATTTTCCTACTCAGAGATTTCCATCTTACAGGGTTGAAGAAGATGGAGATCCATTTCCCATAATTGCTCAGGCAGACACCAGATTGTTGGCCCTGCTATGCAAAGAAAGTAAATCTTTGATTGATTTAGGGGAGTCAGAGGCACTGCAGG